TGTATAAATACACAGCCACATCTGAGATAAATCCGATACCCTATAGGCTACAAAGCCAGTACAGACATCATGTTTGCCATCGAATCAATATGAAAGAGTAATTTCTGTACCAACATGACCAAGCCGTCTGCTAACCATCATTTCCGAAAGTTTAAAAGCTGCGATCTTCTAATTACAGAGGAGAAAAAAAATTGGAAATGTACAATCCAGAATCAAAAAATTATTCTTATAGCTATGTTTTTAAGTGAATCACAAACACTAGAAATAATATAAAGAACATTTCGTTTTGATTGACTGAGATAGCAGCAAGCCCACCATCCAGAATCTAATGACTGTCCGCTTATTTAATAGTAATATCAATCATTCAATTTTCATATATTTTAGACTTTCTCAACTCACAACTCGACTTGTGTAACTCGCAACTCGACTTTTGTAAATCGCAAATTGACGTTTTTAACTCTTCAGTCGACTTTTGTAACTCGCAACTCGACTTTTGAGTCTGGGACTGACAGATCAACATCGTTAAACAGTAAAATAGTGTAAGTTTCCCTTACTCCATGAAATATGATATACTTTAGATTCTTCTATTGGTTATTCTTATCTATACTCTGATCTATTTAAAATGAAGCGAGGCTTTTTTAAATTGAAGTTTGCGGGGGCTGAAATGCAAATGGTCACTGGCGGTATAGATTATAAAAATAAGAAGTGGCATGATTTCCAACGAGACAACTATCCATTAAAGAATAAATAATGAAGATATAAGCACCTATAGGTAACCGTAAGGCCTTCAACAATGATTAAAACCCATACCGCATAGCAAGCTATAAAAGATCCCGACATGACAAAACCCATACCGCATAGCAAGCTATAAAAGTCCCCGACATGACAAAACCCATACCGCATAGCAAGCTATAAATGATCCCCCCCGACATGACAAAATGTAAAACAATTCAATCGATTTATGAACTGTTTTATTGAGAATATGTTATGATTATAAGTTTTTATTTTTCAGTTAACCTTGTAGAGTCTGCCCGATACTACAGATCCTATTCTGGTTACTATTCCAGATATTATTCTCGTTACTATTCTTATTACAACTACTATTATTATAATTATAATTACTATGACACGTATTATGGATATAGCAGTTCTGGCTCGTAAGTATGATGTACTATATAGTACTGTACTGATTTATTTTCATTTAGTACATTAGCTACTCATTTAAGTCTTATTTATTTTGGGAATTGCACACTTGTTTCTTTGGCTGAATGTAAAATCCCTATCGCCAAATACCAAATAATTAACATAACTCAATGCATGAACGTATCTGATGAATAATTAACCACAGCATCATGAGCACACGATACGCCCATCTCCAACAAACATGCATACAAAGGTATTGTGAACTACATAGTAAATATTAATCTTTGTACAATGTCAAGAGGAAGTGAATACTGCATTTCGCCACTGTGAATGCGTAAGAAACCACAACTGCTAATCATTAACCATTGAGAAAAAAAAGAAAACATTGCTATACAAATAAGAGTTAAGATATGGTTTGATAGCTAATGAGACAGAGACCAAATGACGTAGAAGTTAGCAACTAAATGTAATCGTACGGCCTTCATCAATGAGCAAAATAAGCACATTAAAAAACATGTATACTAAACGTGGGGCTAGAATGAATAAAAATTGCACGGTTTCTTAATTTTTCCCCCTGACATTTAACACATTACACAATTCATTGCATTAAAATGTAAAAACGAGTTTTTAAAGGAAAAGAAAGTTAAAATCCAATCCTTGTTCTTCACATGTTCATGTCTAATATAGAGATTTAAAACTAGATGATGATGATGTCGGATGATAATGAAACTTTAAAACAGAATTTTAAATAACAAAAAAAATCTTTTTTTTCAGGGCTGGTATGGTTGCTGGTATAGTAATCGGTTGCATATTTGGTCTAGTTATTATTGTTACTATAACAGTATGTGTCTGTTATAACGTACGGAAAGGAAAAACAAAAACTACGGTGGTTATTAAACCAAAGCCAGTAAAGACAAAAGTCAATGTTGTTAGAAGTATGTTTATATATTTTTCATTTATATACACATTTTGCCAAATACAAAATTTCATCAATTTAATTAAAATTTCTTAGACTTTGGAACAGACCAGACCTGTGTTTCACAATAAAAATTTACGACTAAAAGTCATGAACGATTCAGTTTATTTAAGATCAATTTTGGATCGTAAGATATATTTTTTTAAATGCAGACAAGGATTTAAAGTTTAAAGCATTTGGTCTCGCATCGCTACGGGGCGATACTTACGCATGCTGTTTCGAGTGTCGGCAGCAGCGGTGTCAACAATTTTGTTAAAGTTTGTGGTTAGGTCAGTTTACGGGGAACCACTAATATGCAGTTGTATAAGCATGGAAATTATTTGACCCTGCACCTTAGTCATAGTTCATCATAAGTTGACTTTGAATATGTTGCCTAGTTTACCTGTTAAAGTATTGCCATTTTAATTTCAACATTTGCATTATACTATCAAAATTACATACATGCGATACATATCTCTGTGTTGACAGTTTATTATGTAAATGAAGCTGAAGAACATAAAAGGTTTCAAGTCCTCCTACAAAATGTCATAGCTTTTCACGAGTTTTATGTGTCATAATAACTTGGTATTCGTTTTATTTTAGCGACAACAAATATTGCACCACCACCACCACCACAGCCAAATCCCTTCCAGTATAATCCAAATATTCCTCCACCCACATATGCATCACAGGATGCGGCCTACCCTCCACCAGCATATAATTACGGATACAGATAATACAGATACCAGTGTTATTATTTGCAGTACAGGAACGATCTGACATTATTTGAACAGTATTATGTTTAATGCCATAGTCAAAATATATCTTATTTATATTGTTGTTGTTGTTTCATGCAAATATATTTATAAAATTTTTGTACGACCCAGATAAGCAATATGAACTCAAGTCATGTTTTCAAACTTTCAATAATTATGTTGTGTATGGTTAACATTATTACTACTAAAAACCGGGGGATCAACTATGTAAGGGTGAGCAGTTCATGTTCTATTGGTGGCACCCATCGTGTCGCACATGACCAGTTAAAATCCTGAAATGAGTTGCACTTTGTGATAAGACAAAGAAAGAATTATGGACTCCGTCTATTGAACGATTTGTCTTCATCTGAGACCATGATGTCAAGTATAAGTCCTTTCGAAGAAATGAACCCTTGATTAAATAGCTTCCCTGTAAGATGTTATGCTTGTCATGCACATCCTGAAATACAAACTCTGCAAAATTCAATAGCAAATAGATAAATTTGACGAAAATACCAGGATATGAATAGAAAAAAAAGAACTGGAAAAGGAGATTATCCGAATTAGAAAATCTCGTAGACAAAACAAAAAATTAAAACAGAACAGACCGAAATCATAGATCTTAATCTTAATATGCCAATCTATATATAACGAACAATAATAACTGGTAAATGTCTCTGGTCGAACCGTCATACAGTACTGAATTCAATTATCTCATGATATGTCTGATCGAGGTTTTTTTTCAGAACAAAGATATACAAGTACCATTACCGATAGAAACACGTATATATCGAAAAATAAAACATCACAAAATGCAACACCGAAACTTAAGTAAAAGTATCGCAACCCAAGCTCAAGATTTGATGAACCTTTGTATTATTGAAGGATTGACAGTTTCTGCTCCTGACTGCATGGTGCCACCAAATATAATTTTTAAAAGACTTTCAACACACATATTAAACTTGTAACACCGCAGATGCGACTATAAAGGCTAAGTATAAATTATTAGACGACATTTCGGATTTTGATCAACTTTTGAACTCCATCTAGGAGGGGGTGGACAGGGGGTACCCTTCTCCCACCTCCCACCCCCTATCTCCCACCTCCCACTTTTAGAATCTTTTTTTCTCTCCCACCTATGTTTTGAGCTGTCCACCCCGTCATCTAGGTATTATGAATGGTATATATAATAGAATCAATTAAACATTTGTGAAATAGGTCTATGGATGTAAGTAAAAAGCGGCGAAAATATTCTAGAAAATTCGGCCACATAATTTTGTTTTGATTATAAATTATATGTTTGATTGCTGTAAATATTTTCGTTTTAACGATATGAAAATATTAGGGGTCATTGGATTCGTTTTTGCTGTCAAAATCATGCACTAGTGATACATGTATGTAAACACGTTAACAAATACGACATCGTCACGGCGTTAACGGTTATTTTGTTGTTTAGAACCTTTTTCCACGCTACATTTCGATACTAATTAATTTCGACTAAAGAAAAAAATACGAATCCGATGACCCCTCATATTTTCATATCATTTCTCAAATGGAAGTGAACATATCAATTCTAATTAAAATACTGTGAACGGATTTTTTCCCTTATATTCTACATTATATGTACACAATGTATACATCTTATAATTCCAAAAAATGATTTTTTCAAGACGCATTTGTATTTAAAGATTGGCCCTTTCATGTGACCATTGAAATACTGCATTGTCAATATAATGCTTCAATGCTTATACCAAGTTAGACTGCAGCTCTTCGTTTTTTCCGCATTCCGGATTATTTCGTAGTATAAATAATAGATAAAAAATATTCATTGTAACCTGCAAAATAACCGCATTCAGTATGATCAGAGAATATGCCTCCACTATGGTTCAACACATATTGTAGAACTGAAATCAATATTAAAAACCCCTAAAGACTTCACATTATGTTTTGGCGGTGACGTTTATTTTTAAGCCTCTTTCGAAAATGAGCGGGAGTTCAACAAGGATTCAACTGTACCGACAGATTATTTTATAGACTGTACAAATAGATACCCTTTTTTAATAACATCAAGAATTGTTTCTTTTAAAAAATTCTTTAATTTTGTTTAAGCTCTAGTTCCATATATTTTATCATTTTTTAGATTATTGTCTTTTGTTATCATCAGACACCACACATTGATGAAAGTAGCGACAGGTTTTATAATTTGTTTGGTCACGTGACAAAAACATCGATTCGTATCCAAGGACAAGAGATTCACATTTTAAAAATAAGCATTTAATTATGGGTTTTATTTAAACTGTGTATGTTGTTTCATTTGTTTTCCTCTCATGTGTCAAAATGGGAATTGGATCATTATTAACCAATCTGATTCTTCAACTATGTCTTACAGGTACGTTTAAACTCTTCACTTTCTTATAATCTATAAAACCCCCGGTTTATTTGTGGAATTAATAATTGAGGGTCAAAATTTATAACAAAGCTACTGTTATTGTAATATCGTGTGGATAATTGCAGAAACACATTAAATAAGTTAAAATATTACAGAATGTTTACTAAAAAAATTAAAACACAAAACAAATATTAAGAAAAGGGGGGTTCATTCCCCAAGCACTTGTTGCCAAAATCCTAAATTGTACTGTATAACTTGCAGTTATAGGAGCGATCAGTTGATTTGAAATGCATTGTCACTTTTACTAACTGAATACCATAATACAAATAATGCGAACTGTACACCTACAAGTATACATTTTTACCTGTTGAAATGTGCGTACATTGTCAAGGTAGGTGATTAAACCATTGATTTATTGATATAGAAAACTTTATATTCGACCATAGACTGATAGATTTTATTTGTGTGAAATCAAGTTAGAAACATTCCCAGTGTTTACAAGTCTTTGTATCCGCTGTAATAAACAAATAAAGATCCTTTCACACAAATCTTGAAAGCAGTGAACATATTATTATCAGTATATAAAACAAAAACCTGTTACACTATTTAAAAACCCAAACGATGTCCTCAGATATTTCAAATTCTGTCTCCGAATAACGTCAGGATTTAATGGTTTGTTTTTAGTTTTGTTCTTTTTTATACCTTGCAGATGAAATAAATGGGACATTGTGTTGTCCTGTATCTTGTGAAATCTGGTTAAACTGAGGCGGTTAAAACTTTGCGGTTAAAACTTTGGTTTAAGGTATACAGTGTACCGTAAACTTGAAACTTAGTACACATGCATCATTGCATGTTTAGTATGTGTGAATTTGTTAAAAATATATACAATTAGGAGGACCCGGTGTGATAGTGTGAGCAGGGCATAGTGTTCTATTATACATTCTGTTTATCTTTATCGCTGCTTGATATTGCTACATAGAAAATGAAAATTCACCATGGGGAAGATAAATCATCTCTTTTGTCGAAAAGTTTTATTCTCAAACGACCCTAATTGTCAATTTCTAGATGTAGGTCAAGATATGAGGCAGGCTTTACTGTTGTGTCCTTTATTTCAAGTTCGATGGGATAGATGCGTTCAACTTAGTCACCAAACATTGAATTATTTAGTGAGAGGCCATCCTCTATATAGCGGTACGTAAAGTTAAAGGGGATAGTGTTCGCTTTTTTTTCATTCTTCCGAGGAAGCTCCTGTGTGAAGAATACCTCATATGAATAAAGGAACAAGACGGCAAGAAAAGGAACACAGTTGGTGCCCATGGAAATGCCGATTGTTTTTTTAAAAACACGTCCACCAAACGTCATAAATATGTTGTCAATCAAGCATCTTGTCAGTTTCAGAGCATTTTTTGTTTGAATCAGAGTGGGTTTTTTTTTTTTACAAAGTACGATTTATGCCTCCCTAACTTGACAAGATACTTGTATATACGCTGGCCATTCCTTTTTTATTAAACAAAGCAGAACAAATTCTTTCAATTTGTCTTTTAGTTTTGAATGGGGAATTGTAAAGGGTTAAAATGTCAAATATTTTAATAAGTCTGTATTGCAGGAGGAAAGAGACTTTGTTTGTATGTACTTTAACAGATCTTTGGATTTTTTTAGTATCTATATAGGTTCACAACGCCCCGAGATTAGGAAGTTTTAAAATAACTTTGAAGCCCGGCTTTAATTGCTGATAATTTAGAAAGAGGTTTGGAGGAGCACTTTAACCACCCAGCAATATAACGTTGTGTTTAAGGACACTTATGTAATTTGGGTATATAATACAGTGAAACAGTGAAGGGAGATCCACATATTCATATTTGGTTGAAAATCCAAATGGACATAGAACAGGACTTTGATTATTCAGGATTTCCTCTTTAGAGAGTGTTGTGGGGTTATATGTTGAGTTTAAAAGTTAATTGTCAATACCGATTTTCCTTTATCAAGCAGTTTATATAATGTGATTTACGATGTTCTTTGGGGCTTTATCTGTGGAAACCATAGCATATTTTTCATGGAGGTAGGACAGGTGCTTAGCAACATTTGGGTCTTTAAAGATCGATGTAGCACGTGTATTCATAGACCATTCAGTTTTTTTAATTCTAATTTGTTTTAACGACCTCACAGCCTTAACCCATTCGGAAAGAGTATCTAAGTCATTTCTTTTTTTATCGTTTAGCCCATAATCATCGATTGAACCCAGCAGTAAGGTTGTGTTTCCAATTGATGGATTTAGATTCACGATATTTCTGGTATTTGGATAACACATTTCGCAGAGAAATGTTATCTACAATGTTCAAGTCACCAGTAATAACGTAGCCAGCAGGATAATATATGAATGGGGAACTAGCACAGGTGCATTCTGGAGGTTTAGACTTGAAGTCGTCAATTTTGAGATCCTACAACACGTGTTTTAGTCGCAGTTGGTTCTATTTTGGACTTAAGCGATATTAGTAAAATTCTAAATCGCAAAAGACATAATATTTAATATAACATGGTCTTTATGTTTTTATTCATACTCTTTCATAATAAAATATTTAAACGGTGGAGTAAAGCAAAAGTCGCGGGGAGGAAACACCACTCTTATTATTTTTATGGTGAAATCTATTTTTTTTATTTCAGCAGAGCTAGCTGAGTGTGCTCGATACTACTACTCGAGATATTATTCCAATTATTACTATTACTACTATTATTACAATAGTTATTACTACTACGATAGTTACTATGGATACAGCAGTTCTGGCTCGTAAGTCCTTAAATATCAGATGTAAATTGTTAACAGTATATTAATACGGCACATATAAGGGTATAATATTTCTCTCAGATATCTTTTACATGAATTATGGTTGTGACTCACGTTATGATGTAAAAAATTGGCACCATAAATACATTTATATTTATATAAGGACATGTGGTATGATCCCCAATAAGACAACGAACCACCAATTGAAAGACCACGAGACGAGGATGTAAAAGGTTACCATAAGGCTTTCATCAATGAGTAAAACAGATCTATAAATTGCTGTTCTATGTCATTTTCACATTTCATATGTTCTATATTGCTAAAGACCGACAGCACAGAAACATAACATCCGAAATTATACAGTACTTGTCTATACTGTTCGGATCTCGAAACGGCATGATTGATATTTCAACTTGACACTAGCCATCTTTTGTGTAAAGGATGAATCGTAAGGTTACACAAAATCAGTAGGGGATACGACATCAGAGTGGATTTTTAATTTGTAAGGTAGAATATTAGGCAAACATGTCTACACAACACCAGGTTTTAACCCATGTTTTGACCTTGAGTCAATTTTTATGGTTTTGCAGTCTTTTAACTTAAATACACGAAGCCTAAGCTTAAGGCGAAAAAGTAAGACAAAATTCATATATGTTATTTCTGATAGTTAAATAAAACTAACGGCGTGCAAGCATTTATAAGACGTTTTTGATAGATTTATAACACTTTTTGGTATTTGCATTCGAAATGCCAAAAATATGGCCTTATTCACACCTTCTCTTTTCGAACTTAACTAATTGTCTTTCCTTTAATAGGAGTCCTCTATTTTCAAATTAAATATTTCCGTGTGCTTCGGATTGAATTTGTAAATTATGACGCTTACATACAACTTTTCTGATCTTATATTCCTTATTTTACAAGTTGAAGGAGCATATATTCCGCTCTTATATCGGATTTCCTTGTTCTTATGTCGGACCAAACATTATCCTACTATACATTATTACAGCATGAAATCATAACCGGAACAAATGGCAGGTCTTGATAATGTGTAGGCATGAACAAAAGGCAGGTCTTGATAATATGTAGGCATGAACAAATGGCAGGTCTTGATAATGTGTAGGCATGAACAAAAGGCAGGTCTTGATAATATGTAGGCATGACCAAATGACAGGTCTTGATAATGTGTAGACATGAACAAAAGGCAGGTCTTGATAATGTGTATGCATGTTCCTTTTTTTTTCAGAACCGCTACCATTGTGGGAGCAGTAATTGGATCAATAGTTGGCATAGTATTTATTATTGTTGTTATAATTGTATGCTATAGAATTCGACTGGCCAAGGCCAAGAGTACTGTTGTCTTAAAAAGAACACCACCAAAGCCTACCGTTACATACACTACTACAAGTAAGCTCATACATTTTAATTATTTTTTTGTTGACTTGCTCATTATTCACTGGTGAATTAAAATAAATTGCTGCAAAATACGGGTGATAAAAGATGTTTTTCAAACGCTTAGACTTTGATCGAAATTTATTTATAAAAAAATCTCTATATAAGTCCGAAATATCTGACCCTAACGCGGCATCAAAATATTACAGACAACGGACTCTGTACAATCAATTTATTCTAGGCAAATCAAATATTTAAAACTAAGGTAGATGAAACAACACTCACAATTGAACTATTATTATTCTGTTTTTGTTTTCAAATTGGAGATCATTAAATAAAATCAAATGTATTAAACTGCATACCTTAATTGGGGAATTTTTGTCCGTTTTTATGGATTTCCCCCTTTTTGATCTTACAATGCAGTTCGGTATATTTGTTATACTTTTTTGTATAGTTATGTGAAAAAATAAATTTTGAAATGAGATTAAATACATGTGTGGGTGGATGTTAGGCTTTCTGGACGTACAAATTGTGCAGGTATTCATGTTGCGAGGCGTCTGTTTGGCTGATCAAAGCGAGGAATCAACATCTCTATTCTAAACGTACGTGGCAGTATGTATATTGATACACCATCCCAGGTAGCACAAAACATTTTCAAAACATTTTTATAAGGTTGTATAAATGTCGTCTCAAAACGTTGTCGAAAAAATGTTTTCGTGATGTTATGTAGATATTTTTTCTTGTATTTTAAAAACATTTATTTAAAACATTTTTTGAAAATGTTTTTACAATGATGTAAGAATATTCATGAAAATGTTTTCAATGACATTTTTTAAGATATTTTGTTTGAATGTTTTATAAATGTTCAGAAGATATGTACGTTCTACTTCTAAAAAACATTTTAAAAGCATATGAGTAAAACATTCTTAACAATATTGCTAATATGTTTTTAAAACATTTTCTAAAAATGTTTCATGAAATGTTTTAATAACATGCCTTTAAGATATTTTAACAACATTTCTTCATAATATTTGATGAAAACATTTTAAAAACGTTACGCATTTAATATTGAGAAAATGAATTTATAAAACATTTTGTTACTAATATTTTAAGAACATTTTAAAATAATATTATGAATACATTTACCCAAAAACATTTAAAAAACGTTACGCATTTAATATTGAGAAAATGAATTTATAAAACATTTTGTTGCTAATATTTTAACAACATTTTAAAAAAATATTATGAATACATTTACCTAAAAACATTTAATAGAAAATGTTTAAACAATATTTTGCAAACATTAATTTAGGTTATAGAAGAAAAACTTTATTTCATCAAATGACAGTGATTGAAGCGGTACTTCCCATTTATTGCCCTTTACAGTGCACGTATTGCTATTTTCCGGATTTTCTGTTCCAGTACCGACAATAAAAGTTTACACATTTAAAATCTAACTGTTCCCGATGACCAACGAACATGATCCGAAGCAATTTTGGAAACCAGTAACCGGAAGTTTTATTTACCATGCTGTAAACAAAGACAAAGGAAACGTACAAAATAAAGAATAACCTTATCATGCGTTAAAACTGGTAAGATATGACACTAGTTCACATTATTAAAACATTGTTATGCTTCTGGAAATATCTTGGTTAACTTGATTAATATATTCCAAGAATTAATACGAGTGTAAGCAAGCACAATGCAAAAAGGGGGGTGATGATTTAGATGTTATGATGTTTATGTCCAGTGAACATTACGAATTATAGAAAAGGGGTTAAACTTAAGGGTTATTTATATGATTTTAAAATTCATAAATGTAATCACTTGTAACCAGTGAGCATGTCTGAAAAGTTCTGTGTTACAAGTCAGCCCTTTGACGCTTTGTTGGCTTTAACAGACTGAGCTATTTAAGCAGTACTTCCTTAGCTCAATCTCTGGCTACGTATCTACTAGTCAAGGGAATCTCAAACACGCAATGGTTAGCTATAAACACACAATATATAACGCATACCAGTCAACTGGCATATATTTCCGCCCCAAAATATCTATGATACGCGCCCCTGTGCTATAATATATTGTTTATGTAACTTGTACATTTGTGTTAAGCCCTACAGCCCAGCCTAAGGCCAGATAATTATTTATGTGCCAAGTCCCAAGACAGAAGTTTGATTTAGTAGTTGTCGGTTCATTTCTGACATATTTGTTTTATAAATTATGCCATTATAGTTTCATTGTTTGAATTGTCTTTAATTATACGCCCATTTACGGGACGTATTATGGTATACCGTTCTCCGTATGTCTGTCGTCAACATGTCGGAGATAAACTCATAAATGCTTTAACCAATTTGAATAAAACTTTATAAATTTTAGATTTTACGTTTCCGAGTTCTGGAGTTTTATTCATTAAAAATAGCGTGGATTTTCTAGTTTTCGGACAATAACTCAAAAACGCTTTCAGCAGTTCTCTTTAAACTTTGGTGAATAGTTTATATCTATTGACTTAAGCTCCCTTTTCAATTTTCATGAATTTCTGATTTGACATTGAGAAATGATTGAACTTTTTTCTTCGAAAAATGCGACGGGCGTATCATGCGCTCATGGCGCAGCTGTTTATTTTTGAATGTTGTGGCCTTTGTAGCTGACTACTACAATGTGACTTTTTCTTACCTGTATTTTATTTATATCGATTATTTTAACTTTTGTAGGATCAATTAGCATGATTAGACATACCAAAATTTAGGATAGATTTTCAGAAATGCAGATTAAAATTGAGAATGGAAATGGGGATTATATAGAAGAATATAAGCTTAGAAATGATTCAAACCATCCTGGAGGAGCAAATTTTATGAAGGTATTTATTCTTTAAAATCCTCAATCTATAGTACATGTATTTGCGCTAAAATATACAATATATCCATTACGAAACTTTTTTTTTTTTTGTAAGACCAAGAAAATGTTACAGGCCCTACACGGCTGGCTACTCTCAGTTGAGAAAATTGTAGTGTACAGTATACATGTCTTATTTTATAAACTGGTGAAATCTACCTTTACACTTTTGTAATAATAATACACCCCAAACACTACAGATGTATAAAGTAGCTACAATTGTTGCTTCTGAATCCATTAACACTGATTAGATGACACTTTTCAATATATTTTTGTGAAAACACTGGATTAAACACTGGATTAAATTGAAGAAAAATAGTTTATTGTGTAATTCAATGAAATTAGCTGAATTTTCACTCGTTAATCACTAAACAGAAGGACTAATTTGTTTACACTTTATTTTACAGAAGCCAGTAGATGTCAAAAGAAATAAAAAGAATGGAACAAAAGAAACTTTGAAAAAGAACAGTGATACGAAAATATTGAATAAATGTTTTGCATTTATAATTGTAATTCTATCTTGTATAGTGTTGACTAAGGCAGCAAAGAAAACAGTAAAAAAAACTTCAGAAAAAAAATGTCCGATGCTACATGTGATCAAACATGAGATCAAGAAATACTTCTCAAAAAAATGCACAAAGATTAAAATCAGAAAAAAACCATGACAAATTATAACGTGTTCAAGGTATTACAAAAAATAGGGTTATGTCAATGATACATAAATCCGACAAAAGTAAACAAAATATATGTAGATTCAACTGTAATCAACAAACAATTGTATTAAAAGGAGATGTGGGGTAAAGATCAGTATGACAGCAGTTGTTTTTCAGATGCAGATCCAGGATTATGAAAAGAGGGGCCACAGGCTCTAAACTAGACAAAGTTTGAGTGAAATAGTAGGAATTAGATTAACCATAATTGCAGCTCCATAAGGGGACCCAGGACCCCCCCCCCCCCCCCCCCCACCCCCCCTCCCCACCCCCAGATCAAACATGATTAAAATGTTTTTTGAATATTTTATAAAACATTTGAATGATGATGTAAGAAAACATTTTTCTAATGATATTCATATAACATTTAAATGATGTTTTGAGAATATGAACATTATTAAAACATTTTGTAAAATGTTTTTTGAACATTTTCACAACATTTTATCCTGCAAAAACATTTTTTTTTATGTTTTAAAAATGTTTCAAGGATATTTTATAAACAAGCATATTTAAAACATTTACAAAACATTTTACAAACATTGTCAACAAAATTCAGAAACGTTTTAATGATGTTTTAAAAATATCCTGGACATGTTATGGAAAATGTTTTGAAAATATTTTTAGCGCCATACATTTTAATGTGATTTTGATATTTTCTACGATATTTTCACAACATTTTTCAAAATGTTTTTAAAACATAAACACAATGTTTTTGTGTTAACTGGGATGTGCAGGAAAAGGGGCGAACCCATATCATCGGTCGTGTTGCCGGTTTGGAGAAATCCAGGTGCCCATATTGCTATACCTATGTAAACTGTTCGCTCAAAATTTAAATGGGAAATATGTATTCAGTAAATATATGCACTATTGTAGAAGAAAGTTTAACATGATATATTTTTTCCTTTCAGTGTTAGCTAACAGACCTCAGATAGCACCACAACAGCACCCAACACCACCACAACAACAACCAATACCTCCACAATCAAATCCCTTTCAGTATAGACCAAATCTCCCTCCGCCGACTTACGCATCACAAGACCCGGCATATCCTCCACCAGCTTATAACTATGGATATCAATGAACAGAATCTCGTTTAAATAAGAAATTGTGCAATCAAATCACTATGTGATTATAAATGCTAACTGTGATAGCAAACAATAGGCATTAAGACTACAGATTATTTTATCATAATTTTTAGGATTAATATTGACAATGCCAAATTTGAATGTTATTTATATCTTTATACATAAATGGAAGAAATGTCAAAAGTTTTATCTTGTGTTTCATCAGATGTTGGAACATGAATCTTCTGTTTGCATCAGATTTAAAAATTAATAAACGTTATTATTTTAGTTAACCTACTTGTCATTTGAACTGCATATTGTTTCAGTTGGGTGATATATATATATATATATATATATACTTCATATGCAGGCGCTACTGGAATGTTGCTACATAGAAATGGAAAACTTACAATTGGAAAAGAAAACTACTCATTCGAACAAATGTCCAAGTTCGCTAAAGATTGACTTGGGGGACAAAGCATCTGTTCATATTACCCGTAATATATTCGTTGTATGAAACTGTTGTAAGGTGAACACTACCATTTGACAGAGTTCATCTGACTTTGATCTCATGTAATGGTTTATCAGTAACGTTAAGTTTAGTTATAAATCTTTTTCTCAGATGCTGCAAGTGAAAGGTCAGCTATATAAGGTATGAAGAATGATTGTATGGTGTACAGTGGCAGATTCGGGGGGTGGCATAGAGGGCTGATGCCCCCTTTTTGATCGAAAAAACTATCATTTTTGCATAAAATCACCACACACAAAAATTCGCCTCTCTCCGATTGGCAATTTAAATGGTATATTTTAAGTTTTATGGAATTCCGCCCCTCTTTCAAAATTCCTTGTTCCACCCCTGGTGTACATCGTCTGTCTTGCAGGGTTTATCTTTCCTTGACCTTATTTTCGTTGTTTATTGGTCAACCTTTATGATCTTGGTAAGGTCGTTTTCTTAGATACTAAAATTAATAGGTTAACTATATTGGATGGAGCGAATGATAGTAAGGTAAACAGGTCTATCTGTATGTCAGGGTTCATCTGACTTTGACTTAATTTTCATGGTTCAATGGTATGCATTAACTTTCATGCTATGCATTATAAGGTCTGTTTCTCCGATATTAAAATAAATCGGGTAACTATATTGGGTGAAGAGAATAATTGTTAGGTATAAATGCCTGTCTGACAGTGTTCATCTGGACCTTAATCTCATTTTCGTGGTTAAATGGTCAACTTTATTGTCTTTATAAGGTCAAGTTACTTAGAATTTGTAAGTAACGAGTCAGCTATACTGTGTGTATAGAATGATTTTTGTCGAGCCTGCGACTTTTGTCGCAAAAGCGAGACATATAGCGATCCTACATTCCGTCGTCGGCGGCGTCCACAAATATTCATCCTGTGGTTAAAGTTTTTGAAATTTTAATATCTTTAATTCTTAAACTATCCTAGATTTCTACCAAACTTGGACAGAAGCTGGTTAATGATCATAAGATAGTATCCAGAAGTAAATTTTGTAAAAAAAAATCCTGTTTATCCGTATTTTACTTATAAATGGACTTAGTTTTTCTGCCAGTTAACATTACATTCATTCTGTGGTTAAAGTTTTTAAAATTGTAATAACTTTCTTAAACTATCCTAGATTTCTACCAAACTTGGACAGAAGCTTGTTATTGATCATAAGATAGTATTCAGAAGTAAATTTTGTAAAAAAATAAATCCTGTTTATCCGTATTTTACTTATAAATGGACTTAGTTTTTCTGCCAGTTAACATTACATTCACTCTGTGGTTAAAGTTTTTAAAATTTTAATAACTTATGGACTTAGTTTTTCTAACAGTTAACATTACATTCACTCAGTGGTTAAAGTTTTAAAAATTTTAATAACTTTCTTAAACTATCCTGGATTTGTACCAAACTTGGACAGAAGCTTGTTTATGATCAAAAGCTAGTATCTAGAAGGAAATTTTGTAAAAATTTATTTCCTGTTTTTCCGTAAATTACTTATAAATGGACTTAGTTTTTCTGTCAGTTAACATTACATACAGTCTGCAGTTAAAATTTTAAAACAATTATTAGATTCATAAACCATCCTGGATTTTTACCAAACTTGGACAGAAGCTTTTTACAGTCAAAAGATAGTATCTAGAGGAAAATTTTTAATAATTTTTTCCCCATTTTTGTAAAATATATCTATTATGTGCATTCCCCTATCACAATGAAAATATAGACAACAGCAAAAGTAGGCGAGACCGTGACTGGGTTCCGCGGAACACTTACGATTTTTTTAGATATGTATGTCTGTTTTGCAGGGTTCATTCGACCTTATCTCATTTTATGGTTCAGTATGTCCATAAACTGGGTGAATATTAATTGTAACACGTATGTTTCATATGAATTTGACCCCATTTTGTTCATTGGTTAATTTTACTTCTTGGTGATCACACCAACGACTACTTTACAAGCTAAATAACTATGAAAGCTGGAGGCTCTAAAAAAATGTCATTTTGAAGGGCAATAACTCATATAAGAAGTTTTGGTGTAGACAGACAGTAGGTAGATCTCAACATTTCGAACATTTCTGCCACATTCAGATTTGTTCTATTCATAGCGGTTTTCAAGATAATAAACAAAATTTGTATTTTACCCCTATGTTCTATTTGTGGCCATGTTGGTTGGCAGGCGGGATAATCAGACACATTTTTTTAACTAGATACCCCAATGATGATTGTTTCAACGTCCTTGGGGGACTAATAAAGGACGAAATCGTTTCTAAAATCTAATTTTACTGCTCTAAATATATTTGTGTGTGACTACCTTAACATGCAGTGGGAAAGAGAGAGAGAGAAGGCATGCTAATGAAATATGATACATAGGATATAGATGATTTTACTATTTACAAACATCATCCCGGAGCACCCCTGTGATTCCGGTATGATATGTACTGAACTACGTTTCCAACAACCATATACAAATCAAGTATATAACATCCCCGCCCCGAAAGAAAAAGAAATTTATAAAATTTCGAGATGGTTGTTGGTAAACGTAGGTCAGAGAATATAAAACTAAAATTAGACAACAAACATTATAGTCTACCATAATCAAAATTTATAATTAAAAAAAATATATATATAAGTTTCTCACTAAACTTCAAGGTATCAAATCTCTGACGCCGACTACCACACAAATCTCTTACAATGTAATATTTTCTCATCACAGTTATGGTCTTGCGTATGAAACATTCAAATGACTCATAATTTCAGTTATGCAATTGAGGAATCATAGTCTATTTGATAAGTCTAGCAGAGACCTGAAACTCCTAATATTTCAGATAATACATTCATAAAAAATATCAACTTGTACACACAGATTTGGTTAACACTAGCACTCTCACTTACATATAAATACGAAAATATTATATGAAACATACACAGGTTTTATAGTCTAGAACATGTCATTCAACCTCATTTGACACAAACTCTACTCATGAAACGACCAATAAAAACTAGTAATAATAATACAATGATTATTAAAGAGAAGGGTGGCAGTCACACACAGTACATTCAAAAATAATAAATCTCAATATACAATAACAAACAAATCAAATCTTTTCACGTTAAACAAGTCTCAATATTGTCAACTGTTATCAACGATAACTGGTCCCTGGTACTGGAGGAATATAATAGCGATGCAATCATCACTGATTAAAACAACATCGGATTCAGCACGTTTGGCGATGCAATCATCACCGATTCTATTAACATCTTCTTAATACACGTGGGGCGATGCAATCATCACCGATTATATCATCATCATTGTCCAACAAGTGTGGCGATGCAATCATCACCGAACACCAAATCACCTGTATGTGGCGATGCAATCATCACCGATCATTTGAACATCTTCTTAGGTATTTACAAAAAACACAAGTAAACGGTTAAAAACTACACTTAATTGGCGATACAATTATCACCGAATAATTACTGTATATCAATGTGCACTGAATGCGTGATAGTCTTACTATCGAACGTTATTGAAACAATTACGATACTACACTAGCGGAGGTGGCCTAGCAATTATTAGTTCCTGAGCTTTCGGTGGTAGCTCCGACAACGGTTTCCATTTTGCATTTTGTGCAGGCTCGCCTATCAATTGCACTAGATAGAGAAACGAACTTCCGTGTGGTTTCTTTGCCAGGATTCGCTTTATCTTTTCCTGAGCTCCATCGCATGAACTTATTTCACTTAGAAAATTTTCATCACGGTATCTGATAGGTTTTTTAACAACCCGAGATGTTCGCCTTAACGGAGTAGGATTATCATTTTGTACTAGTAATTGAATATCTTGTTCAGTATCTATTTTATTTTGGGAAATGTCGGAATCAGAATCGGAACTAGTTGAAACTGGATTTTGCCGTGGAACATGTACTAAATAGTTTTGGGGATCTGGTGCTCTTATATGCGCAAGTTTTAGTCGGTTAATATGAACAGGTGATTTTAATTTCCGTTTTCCGGATGGATCTCGTAATTTGATCAAGTGAGGACTAGGAATGCTGTTAACAACAAATGGTCCGTCGTAAAGTGGCTGAAATTTTCTACCCTGACCTGTTAGAGTTCTTTGTAAATATACGTAATCGCCAATCGAAAGTTTTAGTTCATTTAGTTTAAAGTTTGCGTTTTCTTCCATTTTTTCTCCTGAAACTTTGGCATTTTGCACAATCATTTCCCATATTATTTCAAGACAATCCTTTAAATCCGAAAAATAATTTTGCATATTGGGATGAATATCATTCAGGTTAAAATGTGCACCGAACACGGGGAATTTTGGACGTTTCCCGAAAACAATTTCAAACGGGGAAAAATCTATACTACTGTTGACTGACGAATTCATTGAAAAAGTAACCGAATGTATCTCTGTTTCCCATGATTTTTCTTTCAAAACATGCGCAGTTAAGCGTTCATTTAGTGTCCTATGTTGTCTTTCACATGCTCCTAGACAGTGATGAGCAAAGGCAGGCGTGAACTCTTGTGTCACTTCCAAAAGTTTACAAAGTCCAGCGGTGCATTGATTGACAAATTCTGAGCCACGATCTGAAACTAAGGTTCGACACAGACCAAATTGAGTAAACATTCGATAAATTACTTCACAAACTGTCAGAGCATCATTATTTCTCAAAGAATGTGCAAATATAAATTTGCTGAACATGTCGACCGCAGTGAAAACATAAGTATTTCCATTTACTGACTTTGGAAATGGACCACATAAATCGATTTGCCACACTTCGAATGGCTCAGAAGGA